AATTTTCAAATAAACTTTAACTTAAAATTTGAACCGCTTATCATAAAGGGACGTTAAAATTGCTTGTTTTTAAAACATCTGAGCGAGATAAAATACTGTAATTTTCTCCGGCACTCATCGAGTTTTCAATTACACCCGAATTTCAGGACTTCATGTCTTATTTGCCGTCGGAAACCAACTTTATAGTGAAACGTGGTGGCTAGCTAAGAGCTTGGAACAAACAACAAGTACTGTAAACCAGACTGAAAGCCATTTAATCAAAAACGTAAAAAAAAAACCGGAAATTTTGCATGAATATTCAACGAAACGATTCATTTATCAGAAATGAAATGTGCAATCAATTTTACCTCTAGATTACAATTATCTCTGGAACTCCCCGGCAGATCTTTCTACAACATGAATGTGCGTCATTTTGGCTTACTTTTATTAGATAAAGCCCGTTAATGTCACTAGCTCAAATCTTCATTCTAAAATTGAGTCGATCTAGAAACATTCATTTTATTCATTTAATTTTCATGTGACACTTTTGTCACCAGTTTTGTTGCGACTAAAACATCTTGCATACATAGCTTCTAATAATTCAAACAATAAATGGTGGTATATTTTTCGAGTCACTTTAATCAAGCGTTACCAGTAAGTCGGAAAAAGAAGAAACCCATTGTGAAATCCTGCAGATTTACAGACAGGAAAAAAAGCTCGCTCACTTACCGTTGAGTACGATAGAGATCTCCAAAATCGCTTAACCCTTGCATAATGCGATCGCTCCTTAGTCTGCTACACTGCTACATAAGAAAACAAGAAAACCTTCTTTTTCTTGCCTTTAACGAATAAGCTTGTTTGAACCGGCACAACCAAAAGTTACTCGTAATTCAGCAAACGCGAATGTTATCCAGTTCTACAGAATAATTATACGATGTGTTTTGGCTGAAAATTATTGCATAAATGTTTGCCACCCACGTAAGGCAGAGAAACGATTGTATATGACGTTAGCCGTCCGGCAATTATGGTACAGAAATAAAAGGTTGCACATAACCCATTGTTTTGACATCCTCTTGAGGCACGGAATGGATACCAGAGTTCAATTCAGATTATTATTTCTGCAGCCAGGCATTTGTTCCTCACATGAAAGCAAAAGAATTAAAATTCTCACATCACAAACTTCAGGTTAACCGGAGCTAACTAAAGTTTTAAACAAACTTATGGGCCGCCAATCCTAATTTTCAACGTCAACGGTATGCATGGACCATTAGCTTTCTTTTTAAAAGCGGTTGAAGATGGAAAAAAAAAAGAAGAAAAAGAAGGGTATTCAAGAGACCAGAATCGCAATACACTGTTCATAAGTGGTCATTCTCTTAGGAATATGTTTAAATTTGTGTTCTGCACATTTTGCGCTATTTGCAAGTCGTTGCAAGCCGAAATAAACGGTCGAATTGCATTACCGGGCTTCAAATACTGCGAAAATGTTAAACGCCATTGATCGTTTAGACAAGCAGAACGACATTTTTCATGTTTACAGAAACATAATTAAGAGTGAACCGCTTTCACCTGCTTGAAAGCTTTTAAGAAGAAACCTCCTTTTGATCACATGGAAAACACAATTTGAACCCATTTCTAAGCAAACACATGGCTTCTTGGACTTTTTTCCTCCTTGTCGGCTTTTTTGTATTAATGTTTGTGCTATAGAATCTCACTCCAATTTAAAATTGTATTTGACAAGTATACGTACAAGCCAGGCGGAAAATTGTCAACAGTGACAATGCCCTTTCCCTTTTCTCAAATAAAACGGAAATATAACTGACCGCATGTAAAATATATTGCCGATTGAATTAATTTTATGTCGCTGCGCTCGTTAAATAAACAGATGTCTCAAACTTTCATAATTGAGTCTCTTAGGAGCCGCTCAGGATTCAGAAGACCTTGAAATTCCTCTGTTAAACTTCAGTAGAAGTCGGCTGACCTCGGATGCCTTCAATGCACGATTTTTTTTATCTTTCGATGACAATCTTATTGCATATAGGAATAAGGAAGTTTTACCTGCCTCAATTTCATGCACTAGACCCAGTTCCCCTCGCTCCTCTCTAAGCATATCGATTTAAGCCGCCGAAAAATGGTCGGAAACCGCCTGCGCAATGTGCAGGGAATACGAATCAACCCTTGCGTAACGCCAGTGGCGTTTGACATGAGTGCTAGCAAAATAGAGATAACTTTTCCATGCAGCCTAATATATGTTTGTAACGTATACATGTACAATGAACATACATGACGTCTAAAAGCGACGATAGTGACGTCATTTATCAATATTGACCTATGTATGTAATATAACCTAACTGCCTAATGTTTAAGCTTTGTTAGAATCGCGACGAACCAATCAAAAGTTGTGGCAGAGAACATGTGACCTCGCACTAGGAATTACATCTCACCTCTCCATACTAGATAAACGCAATTTCCTTGAAAAATGAGTATATTTGGAAAGTGGAAAATGAATAGATAGGTAAGGAAATGAAAAACACGACTGATGCGACAAAAAATGTAGAAGACGCCAGAATGCTGACATCGTGATAATTTTTTTTTCAGTCCAAGAGAAGCAAAGCTTTTTAGAATTCTGTTAAATGTTTCTCACAATCATAAAGTGTTATAACTCATCTAGTATTAGTAATTAAAGTCGAAATTTATTCGCTGACATTCCGGCAAATTAACGTTTCACTACCTAAAAAGAACTTCGCAAGAAGTAGTTCGCAGATTGTTTACCAATCTCAAATCTCAAAAATTTGTTCCTGAAAAAGAAAAAAAAATACCAAAGCGCTCAGTTGAACCCCCGCAAAACTGTCGACTGATACAAGGAGATCTCAAATAGTAACGTTCGGTAAAATGAAGGTATTGTTTTGCGAATATTTTCAAAGAGCGAAGGCACAGTGCAGATCGAACGGCAAATGTTAATTAACTCTGTTCCTCTTTTGTTATTTTCATCACAAAAAGAAAAACAGCACAATTAACTGTCGCGGAATCTTTCTTCGCAAGAGCGACATTTAGCGACAAGTTATCCATAGATAAATGAAGCATTATTGAAGTGAGTTCAGACGCTAAATTCAACATAAACTGTTCCTCTAAAAAAAAAAAAAAAAAGACAGAGATTCCCGTTATATTTTGCACTTACCGTAATGGGATTTTTTCATTTATTGCACTGTAATCGAAATCCTCTTCGGTTATCGTCTTCAAACGCATACCATCGGTGAATTGAGGCAATTAAAATATCAACCTTGAACGCTATTGAAACGAAAAAAAAGCTTTCCTTTGGTTACGCCAAATTTGAAATCGACATGGACTGCAAAATAAAGAAAAGGAACATAAGCCTGCGTCATATTCTTAAAACTTTGGTTACCATAGAGACACATTCAGTGAGAAAATATTTACTATAGATGAATACATAAGAGAGTTAAATAGCATGTAAAGACCACCTTCATAATGATAATAACAACAATAAATAGTAATAACAATAATGGTAATAATGATGATAATAATAATAATAATTATGAGTTCTAAAGACGCATTTTGTAAGTCTCGCTGCGTCTACCAATTTAAAATTTTCAGAAAAGTAAAGAAATAAAACTCTTACTATGCCCAGCCTCCACTCCGTAGGATTACCTAATTAAAATTAATAAAATACAAAAATAAGTCGCTGTCTTACTAATTGAAATGAATCGATTTAAAAATATGTCTTTTAAAAGCGATATAAACGAATGGTATTGACGGTGTTTTCCGAATAGTTGCTCAAAGTGTATTCCCAAGTAACGGCGCAACTGTGGAAAAAGTATGCAGCAGCTCTGGAAAAGGTATGCCGCAGCTATGGAAAAGGTATGCCGCAGCTATGGAAAAGGTATGCAGCAGCTATGGAAAAGGTATGCAACAGCTATGGAAAAGGTATGCCGCAGCTATGAAAAAGGTATGCAGCAGCAATGGAAAAGTATGCAGCAGCTATGGAAAATGTATGCAGCAGCTATGGAAAAGGTATGCAACAACTATGGAAAAGGTATGCCGCAGCTATGAAAAAGGTATGCAGCAGCAATGGAAAAGTATGCGGCAGCTATGGAAAAGGTATGCTGCAGCTATAGAAATGGTATGCTGCAGCTATGGATAAGGTGTGTTGAGGTGACGAATTAAGGAATTGTGAGCAAACCATACGAAGCCGAGCGGAAACTGTGAAGTGACACATCTTCAACAAAGTAAGATAGAGCACAACTGTTCATAGCATTAAGTTCAGCAGTGTTCTGAAAACTTTGGTTTCCATAGAAACCAAAACTCGCGCGCTAATATTTTTCATTACGTCCGCCGTCTTGTTAGGTGCGCAAGGCATTTTGGGTTGATGAGATATTAACTTCAAGAGTGGAGGTTCCCAATAAATCGCAGGGATTGTTTCAAGAAGAGAATATTCTGGCCAGCTACTCTTCAACTGAAGTATGTATTTTTTCCTTTTTTTTTTTTTTACTCGTTTACAACCATGTATCTATAATTCCCGTGTAGCGAGCACGCACGTAAGCTTATAAGAAAGTGTCACCCTAAAGGGTGTGGTTCTCGAGCCATCGTCGTCTGAAAATCAGTTTTATTTTCACAGTCACCATTGTAAATCTGGTATGGTTTTCCAGGGAAACTCCAGAGCATGTGATCGTATTGACGACTTTTCAACCTTGAATGAAGAAGACAGAAATGTCATTCAATCGGAATATTCCATCGGCAGCCGAAATTGATCACCCAGCTCGTGCCCTGTGTTTAACCGTTGTGTTTGTCTTGACGATGTCTCGTTCCAATCCTTTATAGTCCTAATTTGTTCTCACGGGAAAATCTTTCGTTTCGTATTAAGAGTTTGACAGATTGTTAACTGTACTAAAATTGCTTAGAAGTTGAACGAAAAGGCGGGTTTTCCTTCTTTATTCAGAATCTATCTATATTTTCGGAACAGTTTCCAACCCTCGAAAAAATTCTACATGAGTAACGTGACTGCCAAATTTCCAAAACTTTATCTGTGTTTATTATTTATAAGGTCTGGGATTTAAGAGTAAATCTTCCCAAGTTTCTTAAAAAAGTTTATACAAAATATCCATCACTTCCACTGCATTTGGCTTGAATCTTCTTCACCTCCTAAATTCTTCGCACATCTTATATTCTTGACCGTGGACGGTAAAAATGTGAGCAAAAGTACAAGTCTGTTGGCATTCACAGTGGGCTGCGAGCAGTCCTTTCTTTCCGGCGAAGTCCGTCGCTTCGCGCAGGGAATTAGGGGAGACTCCCAGAGTTCCGCGCGGCACCCTAGCATCAATTTCCTTTTTCGCAAATTTTTTTTTTTTTACTTTTTGACTCACGCGACGAACTTCACAAAAAGGAGGGACAACTCGTAATATTTATTCACGGAATTTCTCTGTACTTAATTAGGTGAATGTTCTCCTTGATATTTTTCAAAAGATCTTCAGCTGTTAACTCCGGTGATGTAGTTTTCGGCGCCTTCATCGAAACGTATGGTTTTAACTGGTGAGGAAGAAAATACGCAAGTCTGTTAAAACTGTACTGTTTTTTGTTTTTGTTTTTTTTTTTCGGCCGCCTTAGCGCTGTAGTTTTTAAGGCAGGAGCTCGCGAGATCAGAAGAAACACGCGCGCAAGAGAGAGAGTGGCATTTCTGCAAGAGCTCTCGCGCGCCTAGCGCGCCAATATGAAACAATCGCTGGTTTATGGAGGTGTCGCCCCATAGCACGTTCGCCCTCGACCACGTCGCCTCCATCAAGACAGGTTCCGCCCAACAGATAAAACAAGTTTGCCCCCTGATCTTCAAATGACTTTAAATCCTTACGGTAAAACGTGTTCTTTTATGACAATCTTCATTAAGGTCCAAATAAGTCTGATTCGTAAGAAAAGTGACACGTTTTCCCTTAAGGAAACAAGTTGAAAGATTTGGGTGCATAATATTATCTGGACGCCATAACTTCAGTCGTGGACACTGGCTGAAATTTAGCAGCAAACTTTGGAAGGTTGTTTGCAAAAATGCACTCTTTTTTTTTATTATTTGGTTTTGTTATAATTATGTTGCTATGTATGCTGGGATGTTCTCAGTTGTAGTTGACTGCATAAATATCCTTAAAAGCGGTTTAAGTGTAGAAAGAATATGAACTCTTAATTTTTCACAAAACATTTGTGCAATTTTTCATTACTGTACACTTTTGCTACGGATTCACTTAGGAGTTTGTGACAGTGCAAAACTTAGTGAGCCCTGCTGGCCAACTGTTTGTTCAAAAAAGGATAAAATTGGTATGCAAAATATTCAACAATATCCTGGTCCAAGATTCAAAAAATTATTGAACCTTTTTACTCCAATGATTACACTTGTAATTCTCCTTACTGGTTGCCATATAATTCTTACTATGTTAGTTGGGAGAATTTGGTATTGGATCGACAAATACTCCCC